CCCCCCCCCCCCCCCCCCAGCGGTGTTGTTGTGCCTTAACATGCATACGCAGTAATTCCAACGCCAGGTTGATGGCCAGACAACTGCCATTATACGACACCAATGCTATTATGATGGTAAAAACCATCAATGTGCACACACCGCAAGGGGCGCGCCCTCCACCCACCGGCCCCGCGCCCTTCCGCGACTGCAGAAACAGAGAGTTGCTCTGATTAGACTGTGCCAAGAGAAAATGAGGAAAGATGGGGATGCCAGGTTCGTGCCACCACGTACTATCCAAGAAGGAGGGTACATCCAGGGACACCCGCACGTGCGCGAGCACCGTTGAAACTTGGGAGACCGCTGGCGGGAACGCAGACTACGTATTACCGTATGCGGACGGACTCTCTCTTCTGCCCGAGGCAACGACCGACCCTTGTATCCAAGACTATACAGTCGTCCCCGCTTTGAAGACACCAGTTTCAAAGACACTCCCCGTTTTAAGGACACAAACATCTCGGAAACATGGTGCCCCGCAGATGCGAAAATGTACGGGGGGGTAGGGTTTTCCACCATTCGACCCTCGCCAGAAAATGTGCTGCAGCACCTGTAGATCCTGGATCATCAACAGCGGTCTGCTGCAGCCGCACACTGCGTGTGGGTGTATGGAAAGATTCATTCCATCTGCTAGCGGTTCGTCTGCTGCCGGCTTGAAGCCATGCGGCGAATCGACATGCCAGTTCAAATCTGCACTGGTGTCACGTTATACAACCTTCGATATTTCTCAGGTGCGGTAGCGAGATCTTGGGCAAGATATTCACGGCGAGGACAACGCCTAAAAAATAATATATAGCAAATAATCAAGCCCATATCAACACAGCACACTACCGTCGTGTACATGTACGATGCGTAGGTCGTAGAACACCATCGCTTTCAGCGTTTTGGTGGTACAGTACGGGGAAATTCAAACGATGGTATGCAAATGTATTGCAGCACAACAGCAGCAGTGGTTGCGACCTTCAAATCACTTTGTGTCGTAGAATTAAAACAACACCCCTTGTGGTCGCCTTTCTGCTGCGAATGCGCACCTTTTGACACATGTTGCGCCTTCATTGGCCCCGGGGATGTTGCGTTAGTGGCCCCGGAATTTCAAAGATACTTCCCCGCGTTATAAGACACTTTTTTGGGGGAAAACGTGGTGTCTGTGAAGCGGGGCCGACTGTACTCATTCTTGGCCTCTTCTTCTCTCCGCAAACCCCAATCTCACCGGCGCGCAAACCCCATCCGGCTCTGGGTGTGTATACAGCGGGGACAACCAACCAACGCGATTACTCCCTGCCCCGGGAGGGAGGGAGGGGGGACCCTAAGGTGCTGTCAGCGTAGCGGAAGGAGCCAGCGTCGTCCGTACAAGCAAGAACAAAAAGTTCGAAAGAAGTACCTACTACTGATGAGCTGGAACGGAACGAAGAACGGCTCGGATGCGACGCGACGGCAACTTTTGCCCTCTGCTGCCGTAGTGCCAGAGAACTCAAAACACAACCTATATGAACACCGAACAAGGGCTTAGCAAGGACGGCTGCATCGACGAAAACAGAGCCTTGCCGCCCTCTTTCTGCCCATAAAGTCTTCCCCGCCACCCCGTGTTGTCTCCGCCGGCCGCCGTACAGCAGTACGAAGAAGAACACAGCGCCGCCGCCTTAGTCTATCGTTGCAACCGGTTGTCGAAGTTTGGCAGCAAGGTCTCCAAAAACTCTTCTCCGTTGGTGACCTTCGTGGTGGCGGTAACGATCTCGAACGGGACTGTGAGAGCAGGGGCGGCGGGGGGGTAGGGGAGGGGACCGGGGAGGGAAAGTCAATGAGAAGCGGATACGATGACGAACGAGCGACAACAGCACGCAGCGAGATACAAGAAGGCATGGTCTGGGACCTCCCAGTTAAGTGCGAGATCGTTCGTGTGTGCGAATAAACCGCCGCAGGCGGTTGTACTGCTGTACACCACGTCCATTAAGTGCTGCGCGTACATTCTCGCTGCGCGTTGAGGAAGCGCAAGGCCGCGATCTCCATGTAGGTCACCCCGCCGATGAAGTAAACGAGCATCACCTGAAACAGGACAAAAAAAAAAAAAACGAGGATCACGACGACGACACTAGCAGCAGCAGTAGCAACAGCACTTCCAGAGGAGGCCGGGTTTAACCTGAAACGACACGAGTTGACAACCGGCCTGGTTTTCGCACAGCTGCAAGAACCGAAAACGCCTGCTGGCACGGAGGACAACACCACAGAGGACGAAAAAAAAAGAAAGGCAATGAAGCCAATACATCCCCACACCTCTCGGCAGCGACGAAGTTTACTGATAAGTGGAGATTGTCTGCCAACGTTCAGAAGAGTGCCGTCGTGGTATGCAGCAAGAAGAAGGAGGAACCAGTAGAACATAGATGGAAGTGGGGGATCGAGGAGATTACAGTAGTGGACCAGTACACATACCTCGGAGTAGAGATCGCAAAAGACTGCTCGTGGAATGCACACAAAACCAAGGTAGCGGAATAGGGCAAAGCACAAGCAGGGAAGCTGCACCCAATACTCGCAAACCGGCACCTCGATACACGCATCAAAATTGACGGTTTTGGAGAGCGGAATCGTACCGCCGCTAGAGTACGCCGGAGAAGTATGGGAAGGAAATAAGAAGGTAGTGAAAGAACTCGAGGCGGCGCAGATGAAAGCAGCGAAAATCATCCTAGGA